TTTTCCATACATATGTATGAATAAGTATGTAAGTTATCATGAAAGTTTGAAAGGAAGGCTCTGTAATTGTTTTATTTTCTGGTCAAATGTACATTTGGATGATTGTTAAGTCAATGGCTCATACTTTACTCACAGAGTGCCACTGGTCAATGGATGTGCACTGACCTTGATTGAAGTTTTTAGGTCAGGGTCATGGTCAACACCCTTTTATCTACTTTACATTTTTATGTTCATTTCTGAAAGCGAAGCCCTTTGAGATGGCCACCATCTCTATGATGTCTAGTTTTTGTTTATCAAGCTTTCACAGTATCTGCAACAAAGACACCTTTAAAACACATACAATATGGTACAGGAATTACTTTCAAAGAGAGAAGAAATTGTGAATCATGACCCTGAACCTAGGTCATCTGGACAAGGTCATAGTTTTGGAAGTGTAAAATTATGCAGGTTGTAATAACTATGCAATAAGATGTCACTTTGTCCAGTACATAAAATTTATGATACAGAAATGGAGGAAGCTCATATTTGAGATCATTTGCTCTTAAAGGTCTTGACCCTTGATAGAGGCCAAGGTCTTGACCTGTGATAGAGGCCATTTGATAAAGGTCACAGAGTTCAGAAGAGAAGATAAGTCCAATTCATAAAAATAGCAAAAGATTTTTATGATTAGAGACTGGAAAAAAGACTAGCTTTCATTAATACTTGCAAAAGTGCAAGACTGGTGTTTTAATTACAGTGTAAATGTCTTGTAATGCTAAAGAATTAATTCAAATTTTCAAAAGGTGTATAGTTTGGGTGTGTTAAACCCATTTGGACAATTCTAGTTTTGTATTCCTTTTGAGGAAAGATCCATTTCCTTTTATTATTTTGTCGTTATTTATAGGCTGCTTAAAAGAAAAAAAAAGAGTTGAAATTAAAATCACACAAGTTGCCATAAATTTTATGATAACAAAGTACTCATTCCAATGCTATGGTTTCATTTTTTATGGCGATAAAATTTCATAATTTCCACAAAAATACATTTTCATTGATATTATCATGATTATTATAGTGAAATTTTTTTAATATTTCCTTGTCCTCTTCTATCATATTTATTCTAGTAAAATGTGTAATTTGTTGAACATTTCATTTCTTGGTCTGGCTTAAAATACCAAGATTGATGTTAAATGTAAACACCTAAGGGATCTATTAATATTGGTAAAATGGAACTTGGGTATTAAAATTATCTGTAAATAAAAGATCTTGAGAGAAAATGGAACTATTCTTTTATTTGTTTGATAGGAAAATGTTTGTCATTGTGGAAAATGTCATCAGTTTCAGAAGGTGATGAACCATACCATCATGATTTGAAAAGTCAAATAACGCTTGGTGAAATCAGCAGTATCTTTCCCCTCCCCCAACCCTCAAAGAAAATGATGGGTATACAATAAAATTGAGTAAAACCAGTTTTGAATTTTTTTAATTATTCTTATTTTTTTTGGTTTAATGTCCCTTTAGAGAATTTTTCTCGTTTGAAGACATCACCACTTACGCTGGGGAGGGGTGTGTGCAAATTTTGACCTGCATATGTATGCTTGGCACTCGGGCCACTCAGCAGTGAGGGGTCTTTTCTGTGCCAACACCTACATTGACACAGGACATACGTTTACCATATATACTCACCTATAAGTCGTTTTTTTTGGGAGTAAAATTGTAGTCCAGAAGTCTGTCTGACTTATAGGCGAGTCATAACACACTGGTATTTTTCTGGATGGCGAAACATAGAATTCTCTAAATATATTCAACAGTTATTGGTGAACAAAGTCTGGATTTATTATATCTCATTTTTATTCTCAGATTTTACATTAATTACAAGTATTAATATAGTACAAGTATTTAATAATTTTATTTTTTAGCTCACCTGAGCCTAAGGCTCAAGTGAGGTTTTCTGATCAAAATTTGTCCGTTGTCTGTCGTCGTCGTTGTAGTTAACTTTTCACATTTTTGAAGGGATTCTGTGTTGAAATGAACCGCCCTTTTTCAAGGGCCAATTTTAATGAAAATTTGCACAAAGTTTTAAAAATCTTCTTCTGAAGGGGACTGTGCCAGTTTATTCAAATTAAGGGCCACGCATCCTTTTTCAAGGGTGTAGATTCAAGTTTGTTCAAATCATGACCCCTGGGGGTAGGGCGGGGCCACTTCTCAGAAGAATGAAAGATTGAATGTTTAAAATCTTCTTCTCAAGAACCACTGTGCCAGGAAAGATGATACTTATAGGGAAGCATCCTCAGGTAGTGTAGATTCAAGTTTGTTCAAATCATGACCCCTGGGGGTAGGGCGGGGCCACAATGGCCGATCAAATTTTTACATAGAAATATATAGGAAATTCTTTAAAAATCTTCTTCTCAAGAACCACTGTGCCAGGAAAGATGAAACTTATAGGGAAGCATCCTCAGGTAGTGTGGATGCAGCTTTGTTTAAATCATGACCCCTGGGGGTAGGGCGGGGCCACAATGGCTGATCAAAATTTTACAATATAGAAAAATATAGGAAAATTCTTTTAAAAATTTCTTCTCAAGAACCACTGTGCCAGGAAAGATGAAACTTACAGGGAAGCATCCTCAGGTAGTGTAGATTCAGGTTTTTTCAAAGCATGACCCCTGAGGGTAGGGCGGGGCCACAATAGCCGATCATAGTTTTACATTGAAATATATAGGGAAAATCTTTAAAAATCTTCTTCTCAAGAATTGCAAAGACATGAATGTTCATATTTTTATGGAAGCATCCTCAGGTAGTGGAGATTCAATTTTGTTCAAATCATGACCCCTGGGGGTAGGGTGGGGCCACAACATGGAATCCAAGTTTTACATAGAAACATGTAGAAAAAATCTTTAAAATTCTTCTTTTCAAGAATAGCAAAGCCATGATTAGTTCTGTTCATATGGAAGCATTCTCAGGTAGTGTAGATTCAATTTTGTTCAAGTCATGACCCCTGGGGGTATAGGGTGAGCCACAAAGCAAGTTCAAATGTAAAGGGTAATAAAACCACAGGAAGTCAAAGAAATATGCAAGCATCCTAATAGTTAGTGAAGATTCAAGTTTGTTCAAATCATACCCTCTCCCTTTTAAGGATTGGTTGGGACCACTATTGGGTTTGATCTTTTCAATAATAAACTGATTTCTGCTTTTTTTTCTAGCCACATTGCTCAGGTGAGCGATGTGGCCCATGGGCCTCTTGTTTAATCTTAAGAGGGCATTTTCTATTTTTCAATTATTAAAAAGTTAAAAATTGACCTACATTTCTAAAAATATTAATAAAAACCATGTTAAAACATCACAGAATTTATTTGAAATTGTCTTCTGATTCTGGCAAAAAGTTGTACCGACTTATAAGCAGGTCAATGGCAAATCACTTCAGTATAACCTCAAAAAATACAACCGACTTATACGCAGAACGACTTATAGGCGAGTATATACGGTATATAATCTTATCCAAAGGAACAGTCTCTGCTTCCCACTGTGGGATTCAAACTTGCAATGTAAGGATCAAATCCTTACTACGTGACTCTATAGACCAGGCGCCCTAACCACTGTGCTACATGGGCCACTTGAATAGTATTCAGTTCATAGGCGTCGGAACTGGGGGGCTAGGTCTAAAAAAAAATTCTCTTACACTTAGCCCCCCCCCCCCCCCCCCCCCCCACTTTCAATTTGCTTCCAATGCCAATGCAGTTGGAATGGTAGAGGCCGATTTTTAACTTTTTCGAGAAGGAATACATGCACATGGAGAGAAAGTTAATGAAAAATTTATTTTCCCAGTAGACTAAGTAGCGTATCAGTCCATGAGATTATAATTAATTATCTTGGCTGCTGCAAAAGATCAACAACTTCATCTTGTTTTCCCTCTCATTTGAATAAATTAACACCCCTTACTGCAAGTAGTTTGAAAATTTTAAAATTTATTATCACCTCTTCCTGCAAAATTATGTTTTTGAGGATAAAAGCTTTGAAATAAATTAACACTGTTCATGAAAGTCATGTTTTTGAGGTTCAAAAGGTCTTGCGTGGGTTAAGTGGTTTCCACTGAGTGTTTGGCCTTTATTTATTGAATTTTTAGATTTGATTAAGGAGGCATATAAAATTGAAATATAATTTTTCAAATACCATGGTTTAATTATTTTCTGTTAAATGCCAATTTACATCATTAATGTGGTTGAGACAGACCACAAAATTACCTTAATGCCATTTAAAAAATAGGTCCAAGTAGCAGTCAACATATTGGGTGAGAATCCAGACATACATTGTATTAGGCAAGATTTCCGAATACACAGTATTTGAATTAGACAAGTTGCACTGTATATTGATGTTTGGTTTTGTGTTCACATTACATCACAGAATAATAAAATGCAATTTTAGTCCTATGACCATGGACTCTGCTGATTTTTTAGAATTTCCATCTTGATATGTTTTAGAAAAAAAAAATACGTTATTCTTTATGTGATTTGTCTGTAAAAAGCGTTTGTTAATCTTTCCATCACCAAAACGTGCACAATCAAGAGACAAGAAGGGGTGTGATGCACATGCTTGCCAGTACATTTAAAACACAAGGGAATTAAAGACATTACAGCATCAAGGGTAAGAAGGTGGAATAACTGCTGTTCAATACAGAAGATGCATGAAAAGTATGTAAGAGTCAGGCACATAAATGTGTTAAATGTTTCCTTGTTGTGATTTATGTATTTTGTACAATTGTTATACCATAAAGGAGATCATGTCTTTTATGAAGAAAAAGGGTGGTTTAAAGATTTCCTGTGTCAGAATTCAGATTTGGACAAATTCTTTTGTTATAAAATTGTACATGGAATGGGAGAGCATTGTTTAGAATTCTATCAAAATAATGCACTCTACCAAATAAAATTTATTTCAGTTACTAGTCAATGCTTATTGTTGAAAGTATACATGTAGGAAATCTAACTGAAAGTAATAATAAAGGTTTTTTTTTGCATTTTTTGTTCATTTAGACCAGAGTTCTTCACAATCTACGTAGCAGAAGGCAAGAGATTTTGGAAAAGATTCAGAATATCCCCGCGAGCTCTGGGGGAGGTACAGTGAGTAACCCCCTCCTGAAGGGATGCGCCTCAGTCACCCCAACAGTGAGGGAAATCATCAAGGACCCCTACAAGTCCTCCAATGACAAATTCATGCTGTCCACAAAGTCCACCTTGAACAAGGCTGTCAGCGATACACTGAATGCCAATCAGATCACTTCACTGGCAGAAGTGCAGAAATCTAGTGAGTTGTCTTGGCCATTTATCTTCTCACAGGAAGAATTTGGAGAATATGATATCTGAATAACTGTGTGTACAGAAAGTGTTCAAGACTTTTAGAAGAAACATTGAGATTTTCATTTCCTTTAATAAGTAGCAAATTTCAATTCTTTCAGCCTCATATCTTTGTGACAGATAAACATTAGGAACAAGTACTTCATATGCAGATTGTCATGATCTTGACCAAGCTCATCTGCACAAGTTCAAGGTCACTGAAAGAATTTGAAAAATTCCTTTCTGGATAATATGTTTGTAATGGACAAACATTGAAAGTCTGAAATAAGAAAAAAAAATAGAAAAAGGAATACACCTGTTTACTTTGAGTTTGAAATGTCAAGGTCACAGAGAATTTCCAATAAAAAGTTGAAAGAGTAGTAAGCAATATAAAGAAAAAGCAGCCTGATTTTATACTAAAATAAAATGTTTAAGTTAAACCTTTCTTTGATTGTACATGTATTTTTCTGTCTGTTTTGTAGGTTGGAATCAGGATTACATCCCCTGGTCCAGTGGCGACACAACTTTGTCCGTTTTTACGTCATCTTCCGACACTATGGCTTCGTCTTCTGACATACTAACAGACAGCGGGGACATCTGGAATGAGGTGAGTGGAAATAATTAAATTTAAATTTAAAAATTAGCTCCTGAAATTTTGATTGCATTCAAAGTTATTTGACAATGTCCGTGTACTAAGAATATCTATGTGGTGCATGTACAAACATTTTTCTTTGGAAAAATTGATGGCTGTTGCACAAAAAAATCTAGTTTATGAATTGATTGAGGTCTATATTGCTATAAAACATGACAGCAGGCCTAGATATGCTGTACATTGGTATTGTAGAGTAGTTCAGATAGCACAGAATTCATGTTAAACTGGCTGAAGGACATACCAGATGACCCTGTACCAGTAGAAAACAAAGAGGACACAAAATGGTGGCTGAACAACACAAGTATATCAGCATCATTAACAACCAGCACCGAAAGCAGAGCCATGGATTCATATCCAAGGTAACAAAAATGAACCAAATAGATATTTGATTATTTGCTTATTCAAACATGTCATTTTGAGGAAGAATTAGGAATTTCCATTTGTAAGTAAAATCTTGATAAAAAAAACCAGGCTATTGTGACATCTACTTCTCTCGGGAGTTTTCTTTCAACGAATGATAATAATAGTTTAGGAAAATGCACTTGGTATCCGAAGAGGTGGAATATGAGGAAAAGCATGTCGACAACTGTGAAATATGAAGTTTTATGGCCCGATCACTTGATAATCTGGAACCAATCAGATAACGCGTTGTGTAGAATAAGAAGAAGGTATGGTTTTAGCTTTCTTGCGCCCTAAAAATGTAATGACATCAAAAAGTTTTGAAACTGGCTTAAATATTAGTTAAATAAATGACTCTGATAAATCAGGAAATCTAATTTAGGATGTAATAGCACATAATTTGTGAAGAATTTCTCTATTTTCATTAAAAAAGCCTCAAAATGGCACATTTCAAGGGTGATTTTCCAATAAAAGTACAGCCGTTGCACTACATATTTTGAAAATATATAACAAATAAATATCTAAGATTTTGTGGGCGATTTAATAGTTTATTACAACAATTCCATTAAAAATTGGAAAACTTTTTAAGAAAATAGAAACCTTGTTTGACAAACAGCATTTAAAAACACATGTGAGAAAAATGACTTGTATGATTTTTCTGCATTGAATTTCAATTATTTAAAAAAATAACTTGTTACACCAGTTATTTTTTAGAAAATCACAGGGCAAAATTTGAACAAACCCGATATTTTTTTAATGAGGTATAATAATATCATATAGGGCTTAATATATCTTATAAAAATTAAGAAAGTAATTGAATATAATCCACAGTAATTTTTATATCAATATGCACATTTAAAAGAATAAAGGAAAATCAGATATTTTAAAGATTTTTTTAAAGGAAGTTTAATAACGAAGGCTAAAATATTTTCTATGTACAGGTATAAGTACTTCGTTGTGATAAAAAATGCTCAGGTTTGTTCTTCATAATGAGATATAAGCGATAAATTTAATTTTTCAAAGGTGATTTCAAACCATTGCAAATAGCGATATCGTCATGGGATTATTTTTGGTGTGACCCAATAAAAATTATTTTTTTAACTTTTGAATTTTGGTATCTTTTAAAAGAAAAAGACTTTGGGGATATAATTTGACAAAAGTTGAAACAATTCATGGACAATCATTTTTCAAGAAGAAAAACGAATATATATTTTTTTTGTGATTTGAATTGGAATAAGCGGCTTTAAGAAAAAAAAATTGGTTTGAGGGGATTTGATTTTGTGGATAAAAGAGAAATATCAATTCACAGTATAGGATTAAAAATTTCCTGGGGGATATGCATTAATTTGTGTCATGAAAATGATGAAAATTACTCATGAAAAAATTAGTACTGTAATTTACCATATATACTCACCAATAAGTCGGTTTTTTGGGAGTTAAATTTGGTCCAAAACTCTATGTCTAACTTCTAACAGTGAATTGTAGCATTTTATATATATTTCTGACGATTATTGAAGGACAAAGTTTGTATATGTATATTCATTTATGCATTCAAAATTACATAAGAAGCAGTTACTTATTTTAGTAGTTTTATTTTTATATTAAGTGTGCAATTATTATTTGCTTAATGATTTAAAATTAAATATCAGCATTATTTCAAAAGAATATTAATGGAAACCAGGCAAAAACATCAGTATATTGATTTAAAATGTCAAATGATTCTAGCAGAAAGTTGTACCGACTTCTAAGAAGAGAAGAAGGGCATAGAAAGCGTGGACAATACCCTGCTCTGAGATAATATGCTTCTCAGTTTTCAAAATTCACGGAAAGGTTATATTTTTCTTAAATCATGTTCTCAGTAATGTCATCTTCAAAACATTGTAATAATTATTTGAGGAAACGACTTATCATCATTTGACAGTCTTTTTTCAAAGTTGACAGTTAAGCATATTTAGTGGGAAATGAGTCTACTAGAGCCATAAAAAATGAATTTTGAACATGAATGGGTCAAGTCTCCATTCTTCGTTAATGCTTAAATGATGGAAACGTAAATGTGAAATCTATTTCATTTGTACATAAAATGGAATCTAAACCCATTCTATATGAAAATCAAACATTTCTGAAAAGATGTATGCATCTACAAACCTTTTCATTTAAATCACACTGACAGACATGTATAACACATATACTTCAATGCGTAGTGGTTAACACAGTTGGTCTTGTGCCAAACCCTGCGCTATGGAGAGAGTTCGAATCATACGTGACAATTTTTCTTTTTTGTTTTCATATACTGTAAAACGAGAATATTTAGCGCACTACTAATTGCGCCTTTGGCGCAAGAGCCCCTGAACGCTAAAATTAATTGTGCGCTAACGGAATTCTATAAGTATTATTTTGTTGTGTATGTTCAGAGCTTCCATATAAATACATGTAAACGGGAATGCGCAATTATGTAATGTCGAAGGGTCATTGGATTTTATATACACACTAGCAGTGTACATGGTAGGACCAATCAAGAAAGTTCTGCCAAAACAATTTATTTAATTAAACTATTGTTAGTTGTTACCCGATACTTATCATTAGCACCTTAAAATTTTGGCTTCTCGGCGTGTTAATCATCTATCGCCTCGAGGTGCAGACAATACCTGGCTGATTATGATTACCGTTTATCCAAGTAACTTTCCTTCGAAGCATGCATTATTTTTTTTTATGAATATTATGCGTGAATACTCGATTTCTTTTATTTAAAAAAAATTTAACATTGTGCCACGTCTATCATGTGATTGCAACACTGCGTTAAAGTTGACGATTGTTTACTTATATGTATGGGAGTGCTATAATTGTGTTTCCGTGCTTGACTAACCAAAAATCAAATACGGCGTTGATTAAAATAATATCACATTTATATATTTTAAAGACAAGTGCAAGCGCTAATATTTATTTGCGCCAATGTATTCCCAATTGCGTTTGCGCTAAAATACGTATGCGCCAAATTTTCTCGTTTTACAGTATCTTAAAAACATGAGTGAAAAAAAATTATTAATAAACTATTAAATAAATAAATACAGAATTAAATGTCTAAAGATGATATTAACCATATAATTTTGAAAAATATAACTTAATTTTCATAAACTTCTAGAATTGAGAAATGTTTATTTTCAGAGCGGTGGATTGTCCTCGCCATGTACGCCTCCATTCTTAACTTTAAAAAATACAGCAGACTTAGTAATTTATTCAAAGTTCAACTAAATCCCCTGTCTCAATTTTTCATTCTCTTTGCAACAAAATAGTTAAATTGAAATCATTTTTTATTGAATTATCACTTTTGAGTAGTGCCCTTATTTTGAACTGTGATTTATTTAAAAAAAAGAAATGTTGATTCCTATTGCTTCAGTAAATCTGAAATAGCCTTACAAGTGTATGAACAGGTAGGACACAGTTCTTTTTTGGGGGAAGTATTACTATAAAAGGGAACTATTACTCTTTTCAGTGATAAAAACATTACTGTGTTCGGGAATTTTCACTCGTTGAGCCTCTTATTTTCGTGTTTCTTTTGAATAAAAGTTAAAGTGCAAGAATATTTTCACATCCTCTAAATATTTATTGTTTTAAGTGTATGTATGCTCAAAACTACAATATTTATTGCTGCAAAAAGCTGGAAAAGAGTAATGAAATACTTCTATGATATACAGTAGATTTCTTACGGAAGCTTACATGTGTTAAAATTATGAGATTGAATACGTTCAGCACTTGCTAACTCGTTCATGAAATTATTCGTTCTAATTTTATTTTCTATTACAATTTATTTAAATGACATCGTAAAAATAATTTTAAATATCACTGCTTCTTTTACAAACAATATTCTTTTAAAATGGTTTTAGAATGAATGCCCTTATTAGATTCCATACTTTACGTACCATTTGTCAACAAGGAAAATGAAAGTAAAAGTCTTGGATTAATGCTGCATGTGAGTTTAAATTCGCGGTCTGTCAGCCATTTAGTTTCCGTTCAATTTCTTCACTACCGTAGCACATATACTGAAATGAAATTTGGTATACACATTTATCAGATAAATATCTAGGCCAAGTTCTGTTTTGTGCTAAAATTTATTCACCTGAGCCCTCAAGTGAGCTTTTCTGATCCCGTTGCGTTTGTCGTCTGTCTGTCTGTACTGTATGTCTGTCTGTCCGTCCGTCTGTAAACTTTTCACATTTTCGACTTCTTAAGAACCACTGGGCCAATTTTGACCAAACTTAACAAAGCATCCTTGGGTGAAAAAAAATTATTGTTAATAAACCAAGTCCCCTCACAATAGATAAAATACAGACAAAAATATGGGGTCATAAAAAATCTTCTTTAACCACTGGGCCATAATTTTGTGGAGAAATATAACTTTAAATTGTTCAAATCATGAACTGGGGCATCAAAGTTTTACATAGAAATATATAGGAAAAATCTTTAAAAATCTTCTTCTCAAGAACCATTGGGCCAGAAAAGCTGAAACTGATGTGGAAGCACCCTGAGGTATTGTAGATTCTAAATTGTTCAAATCATGACCCCCGAGGGTAGGGCGGGGCCACAATGGTGAATCAAAGTTTTACATAGAAATATATAGGAAAAATCTTTGAAAATCTTCTTCTCAAGAACCACTGGGCCAGAAAAGCTGAAACTGATGTGGAAGCACCCTGGGGTAGTGTAGATTCTAAATTGTTCAAATCATGACCCCCGGGGGTAGGGCGGGGCCACAATGGGGCATCAAAGTTTTACATTGAAATATATAGGAAAAATCTTTGAAAATCTTCTTCTCAAGAACCACTGGGCCAGAAAAGCTGAAACTGATGTGGAAGCACCCTAGGGTAGTGTTAATTCTAAATTGTTCAAATCATGACCCCCTGGGGTAGGGCGGGGCCACAATGGGGCATCAAAGTTTTACATAGAAATATATAGGAAAAATCTTTGAAAATCTTCTTCTCAAGAACCACTGGGCCAGAAAAGCTGAAACTGATGTGGAAGCACCCTAGGGTAGTGTAGATTCTAAATTGTTCAAATCATGACCCCCGGGGGTTGGGCAGGACCACAATGGTGAATCAAAGTTTTACATAGAAATATTTAGGAAAAATCTTTGAAAATCTTCTTCTTAAGAACCACTGGGCCATAAAAGCTGAAACTCGTGTGGAAGCATCCTGGGGTAGTGTAGATTCTAAATTGTTCAAATTGAGCCCCGGGGGTATTTTCGGGGCCACAATATGTATTACAAGGGGGAAATCTGGAAAAGAACAATATGACAAAAGATTCTCAGGTGAGCGATGTGGCCCATGGGCCTCTTGTTGTCAGAGTTATGCCCCTTGGACTTAGAATTTTTTTTAAATTTTTGCAGTTTCCGTTCATTTTCTTTGCAGAGGTTGCACATATTAAAATGAAATTTGATATACAGATTTATCAGCTTTATATCTAGGTCAAGTTTCGTTTTGGGTACAATTGCACCATTTTTGTCAGAGTTATTCCCCTTGGACGTAGAAAATTTTTAAAATTTTTGCAGTTTCTGTTCATTTTCTTTGCAGAGGTTGCACATATTGAAATGAAATTTAATATACAGATTTATCAGCTTTATATCTAGGTCAAGTTTTGTTCTGGGTACAATCGCACCATTTTTGTCAGAGTTATTCCCCTTGGACTTATAAATATTCCAATTATTTGCAGTTTCTGTTCATTTTCTTTGCAGAGGTTGCACATATTGAAATGAAATTTGGTATAAAGATTTATTTGAAATATTAAAAGTTCTGTTTACAATGATCGCACCATTTTTGATAAAATGCCCCTTTTTGAAAAAATTCCAATTTGGGAGAGGGGGGCATAAGTGTTTTACATACATCTCTTGTTTATGCACTTTTTATTTTAAAAAATGGAAAATTGAAAAGATATGACAAAAATTCCTGAATTCAGTAATGTTTACTATTACTGAAGAGAGGAATAATCCCGTTTTATAGTAATACTTCCCCGAAAAAGAAACTGTGCCCAACCTGATAAAGGACAAGTGCACTTAAGCAATACTTAATGGGCCCTTTTTCTGTGCTGATTTTCTTAGGAATATATTACCGAATCGTTCTCTTTTGGTAATAGTTAAACACTAGTGGATATTTCTAATTAAACAGTGTGTTAAGCATCACCCAAATCAGCATAGATTTGAAACAATTGAATATCTTTGGATGCCTCTATATACCCAAATCCGGAATGTCGTACCGAACCTACTTTGAGTTTCATTTATTTAAATCAAGGGTGGAGACATTTAAATCGACACTTGTACAATCTGATGGCGAATCATCGATGGATATTTCTAATTGTTCAAAAAATCAAATGTGTGTTGCGTGAAGCCATCAAACTAAGAAAATTGCACGCTTGCATTTGAAAAAAATACAATAAGCATTGATATTAGTTTCTTTGAATTTTGAAATTAAAAAAGAGTATTTCGGTGGACTTCAATACTGTCTCATTGTCTTGCATGAATGATAAAAATGTTAACACTTTTATGAACGACACTTAACTCTCTTTACCATTTAGTGTTTCTAAAACCAAATGCATACAAACATCTCTAAGTGACACAACTTTCATGATACAAAGTCTGGCTATACAGTGAGCACCTTTGAGGAATGTTTACTTGAGTAGAACTCACGTGACTATCAGTATTTTAAATAATTTATTCCACAGGTGGCTTCTACATTGGTCATAAAAGTAAATAGCTGTCGTTTCCTATAAGAGAATTTTTATACATTTTTGATATTTTAGGTACCAGCCTAATCTTGTGCAGACTTCCTACTTTCACACAAGTTGTATTATATTAATATTGCATGTAGTTGAGTGTAACATTGAAAATTTTCACCCCAAGAAAACCATTGTCAACCGAGGTGCAGCCGAGGTTGACAATGGTTTTCGAGGGGTGAAAATTTTCAATGTTACACTCAACTACATGCAATATTTATTATATTATACTGAATGTTTTATACAAATACATATAACAGTGAACAGTGCGCGCATAAATTCTGTGCAGTCGCTATTTTTTGGAATATCACCCGTTGTCAAGCACTGTTGACTGTTGCTACGCTGGAGGGCATAGCTTCATTATTCAGTGGGTAATATTGTTTTTTAACAAATGTTTATCAACCAATCAGATTCAACTAATTTACATGAAAGTATAATATAAATATATAATGCCTCTTTTGTCATTTGCACAAGTTTGCACAATGTTAGGCTCATAGTAAACAAAAGCTTAGAAATGAATGACTGTTCTCGATTTACTATAGAAAATCACAAATGTCGGCTGACCCCTACAACATTGTATGGCTTTGCTCTTGGTATATTCATGAATTTCTGTGGTAAAATTTGTTAAATCATATGGTTTAGATATCAATTAAGTATTTGAGATGAAAAATTTTCCTTTATTTGATTCTTTATTTTTTCACATTTTACTGGGGCCCATAAGTGCACTCATTCTTTGATCATGTAATTTATACTGGTTAAAGAAACGTGTATAAGAAAATGGTGGGCATATTCTATCTTTTTCCTGTAGTTCTCCTACCCACCCTTAGATAATTTTTTAATGGAATAATTTCCATAAACATTTCGTTTTCCATTAAATTTCTGTGATTTTTATCAAGCAATCTGACAGCAAAGCTAGCATCTGATACAGAAAATTATTGTTACTTTCGAAAAATAATGGCATGGTTGTTGATTCCTAGCATTCGTTCAACTGCATTATATGTGTGTAATTTGTTATAGGAGCAGTATGTCTGTGTGCTCTGACAAGACAGATGAAGAGATTCCTTTTGATCCTCCTATTGTCTCCAAGTTTGGACCAATTTCCAGGTCCTGTAAGACAAAGTACAAATTCTCTGATCCCGTACAGGCTACAGCCAATCAGGTAAGTGTTAACAATTTTCATTTGATGTACCCTGTACAGGTTACAGCCAATCAGGTAAGTGTTAACATTTTTCATTTGATGTACCCTGTACAGGCTACAGCCAATCAGGTAAGTGTTAACATTTTTCATTCGATGTAAGCTGTACAGGCTACAGCCAATCAGGTAAATGTTAACATTTTTCATTTGATGTACTCTGTACAGGTTACAGCCAATCAGGTAAGTGTTAACATTTTTCATTTGATGTACTCTGTACAGGCTACAGCCAATCAGGTAAGTGTTAACATTTTTCATTTGATGTACCCTGTACAGGCTACAGCCAATCAGGTAAGTGTTAGGATTTTTCATTTGATGTACCCTGTACAGGTTGAGCCAATTAAATAAGTGTTTAATTTTTCAGTTTTTCGAACCTGTGAATGTTTGTTTGAATGTATAACATACATTTTATGTTTATATATGTAATATAAGAGGCAAATTGGATTGGATTGATTAATGATAAAATTAGAAAATATATAGTTTTAAACTTCCATCAGATTAAAGGAGCTAGTGAGGTTTGATTTTAATCAGACAGTTTTTAATATAGCAGTGTACTGGTAGATAGGTTAGGTACAGGCTTGTTACCAAGTTGAGGTTTTGACAACTTAAAATCTAAGCATCCCTTTGGAACTTTATTTCAGGGTCATTCCACGATGACCCCAGTGACAGCCATTACACCTGTGAGGCGGCCTCAGACGACTGCTTTCCCACAGGAAACTAAGGTGAAGAAATCAAACGAGGTCCATATGCATGGTTACAATCTCCATGCCATCTCCACGGGATGTTACGACAAGTAAAGCATTATTTTATTGTTTCTTGGTTGGTGTTGTGGGCCTAGTGGTTGAGTGAAAATACAAACAAGTAAAATCCACCTGTGATGTCATTCTTTTGTTTGAGCGCTCCATTACTTTTAAGGAATGGAGAGTTGCAAATTACATTGAAAACAGAATTTGTTATGGTCTTATTCTCCTTTCTGTGCCTCTTCCAAGGAAGGAACGTAGAAAATTTTAGAGAAGAGTTTTAGAAAATTGTAAAGGTTACTTTTACATTAAGAAAATTAGATCACCCATGATGAGAATCGAACCCGGTACCCTCACCATAGCAGTCCGATGCTCATTTCACTGAGCTAACGAAGCTGTTGAGAGACTTGTGTTTAGATTAACTTCAGTACACTTTTTCTAGTTTTTCTTTCTATATTATATATAAATAATACTACTAATATGTAAAAAATATTTTCAATGTATCATATAAATATTCTTTATTATATATTAACAAACAATAAAAACAAGCATTCAGAAAGGCGGATTTTACGCTGGTTAATATACTCGTAGTGCTCCATGCCTTAAAAGTAATGGGCCTCGGCCCCTTTGGGGCCTCGGCTCCATTTCTTTTAAGGAATGGAGCGCTACTCGTACATTAACCCTTAATACGTAATGCATATCATCTCTATAAGCACAGTCATCTGAGTTAGTGTTGGTTGGACTTGTTTTACAATTTGTTTTAAAAGAAGCTTGACAGCAGAGATCAAACACATTTTCTTGGCTATGTATGTAGTCAAAAAGAATTTTTAAAATGGACTACAAGAATTTTTCTGAAATTAATCATGTACCATCTTTGAATTTAAGGTCCGAGATGGGGCTACAGGACTACGTTAGACATGAGCTGTCACGTCTGGAGAAGAAGGCACAGAACGCCTACACAGAGGGGGAGGCTCTTAACTGTGAACTACAGGCCGTAGAACTCCAGATCTCACTGGTAACACTTACACTGTACATGTAGAACAAGTACTTAGGCCAAAGTTTTTATTTTTTTTGGTTTACGATTTTTTGACACAAAAATATGCATTGGGTGGTCGAAAAATAAAAATATAAATAATTTGGAACCTTGTATTTTTTCTCGGTTGAAATGTATTCAAATAAAAATAATAAACACACAAGAATTTTCAACTTTTAGAATTATTTTTTCTTATCACTCGTTTTAAGTCAAGAAAAATGAATCACATTCAAATGACTCAAGAACAGAAATGGGAGTATCAACTGTTGACATTCATTACAAGTCTCCATGATAGACACATATATTGCACTGGGACAAATATGGGTAAAATTAAGCAAATTGGCTTTTCTCTGGTCAGCCTTTCCACTTACGAAATTTTTTTTTGGAAACTCCAAAAGTGATTGCTTTCACAATTTTACCTTAAGATATGTGTGTCCAGGGACCAACCTAGACCCATCCTAGAAGGAGACTTCACTTCTCCCTCAAAGAAATTTAAGGAGAAGTATTGAAATTTAGAGAGACTTATTGGTGCGTATACGTGGCACACTTTAATCGTTATAAAACTATTTCATTGTTTAAAACTAAGATTACATTTCAAAAAAAATTCTGTATAAACAATATTGTATTTAAAATGATTAAAAAAGATAAAAAGAATCTTAGAAGATATTTCCCCAATTACAAGGTATATAAATATCTAGTAAAAATAATAAAACAGCATTGACATTACATAAAATTTACTACTACTACTATTAAATTGTAAAAGTTTCTTGTTGTCAGATTAATTGTTTACTAAACATTTTTTTTCATATCTTATATAGTAGTAAAATCTTAAACTTCTAAAATTTCTCTTCTCATTAGATTTCCAGGCTTTTGGCAATCCAGGCATAGTCATAATTTTGTTAATTTCTCTTCAAAATTGTTTTCAATATAAAATTCTCTTTCTAATAAAAGTTTTGATGCACACCTGCATGCCGATTGAACAGCTACTTATGTTTATCGAAACTGTCTTCTGATGTGTAACTTCTTAGAAAGCTAATAACTTTACAATTTATCAGTAAAATTATGTCTGTATTCACAGCATGAATTAATTATTTGACAGTAATAAAGATCTAAAATCTTCTCCATCATCTTTGGCATGACATCAATAGCTGTCCAGCTGTTTTGCGTCTTGTTCAGTTGTGTATAACTTGTAAAGATGGACTTTTTCATACCCGGAAGTGTAAAATCTAGAGGAGTTCACGGAGTATTCGACATTGGTCATTGGCAATGTGGTTTGACAATTATTGAATTTGTGAGATTTTGGGTTAATGATTAAGATGTGTTGTATATCTTGGTTTGGTCAAGAAAATTTCGATTATTTTTATTTTCGTAAATAGGGAAAAATAGGGTCGGCGGAATCGTAAACCAAGAGAAAAAAAAACTTTGGCCTTAAAAGAAATAACAAGAGATGTTAATTCAAACTCTATCAATAATTTGTCAACATGTTGATATATATGTCAAACAGCAGATGGAAGTTGCACTTCGCAAATCTGTTTTCTTTTAGTTGAATGAAATTAAAAATGTATTTTTTGCATAATTAGACATAATTGTACCTTTTCTCACTGTTGTGGTTCACAGGAAGATGGATCCATGCTAGAAGCTCCACCAAACAAACCTGAGAAGACAATATTTGGGTGGGAGTTGGAATCTAAGTTAGAGAGACCCCCAGGAGCATGGAGCAGCTTTGAGTTATTAGCTGCAGCCACTACCAAAGGAATGGTAATTATTATTCAGCTGTTATTATTATCTGACATTTTGGCAGAAAATTGGGAGGAATTCACAATACATTGTACTCATACCATTAAATCAAGAGAAATCAACGATGAAGAGGTGCCTTTTTAAGATAATATTTTGAAAACAATATTGTATTCCATAGAGTGGATTGAAGTTTAGGTTGATGGAACGAGGCAGTCTGACTAAAGCCAGCCCCTACTATTTCACTTCGCTCTACAAACAAAGTGAAATAGTAGGGGCTGGCTTTAGTCAGACTAGAATCAAGCAGAAGTGATGTACTACCGGTATAGTTCACTAAATTTTCATGATGCCTTTCTTTCACAAAAAATGCATTTCAATTCAATTTTGGGGATCATGATGTGCTGAAAATTTTATAAGATGTTGACTTCAAATCAGTGTCCAAGTCTCTTTAAGACTAGGTACATGTAATTATGTGTAAAAGAAATTTATATGTATTAAAAGAAGGCATTAGAAAGAATAAGAAATGAATTCTTTTTTCTTAGACCTGTCAATAGAGAAGCGCATGTAATTGCATCATTTATTTGACTTGCTTTATGTTTTCATGTCTGTATTACAGAAATTGGATGACATCCACATGGCATTAGATGCCCAGAAAAAGGCAACACAGTCTTTACGCAGCAAGCAACAAGAAGATTAGAGGGCAAAGAAAGGTGTTAAAAGTGCTTTTTCAAGCTCTGAACATATCACTGTCTTTTTTTCACAGGACAGGGGAGTGTTTTTTTACATTGTATTGTGTTTTAAATATACTGAGTGTTTTATTTTTAGTCTTATCTGGCAATAACCACTTGTTAAACAAAGTCTGACATTTGGACATATTCTCTACAATGTAGGGTGAAGGAAATACTATGTATCTTCTGAAGTTTGAATTCATTACAAAGAGCTTATTATTCACTGTCTACCATGTGGACTCAATATGTCAAGTTTTAGATTGTTTGGAATTTCTGTTCTTAAGTGGTACATATTGTGCACTTCTGTATTATTAACCTGTTCTATTAGAGCTACATTATACCTCATTTTCTCATTTTCATGTTTTTCTGTAGTATTGTTGTTGATATGGCTTGAATTTTTTTCAAAAATATAATGACATTATATCCCTGATGTATATAGGGATTAGGGACTGAGGGAACATCACTGTCTAACATGTGTGTTTTGTTTATTACACTGTAATTCACTGTTAAATCAGTCATCATCTAATTGTCATTTTTTATACCCCCCGCTTGAAAAGTGGGAGGGTATATAGTAATCGTTAATTCCGTCCGTCCGTCTGTACGTCTGTCCGTCTGTCCGTCCGTCCGTCTGTTACGCTTTGGGGTACCCATCTCTTATCCGCAACTCCTCTAATACCACTGAATTTTGATAACTTTTCTTTATTACATATTGCCATTGTGCACCTCCTATTTTATTGAAGCAAAAAGAGATAACCATGCTTTGGCTCATCACAGTACCTCTAGTTTTTAATTGAAGCAAAAAGAGATATGCTTTGGCTTCAGGTCAAGATCTATCAAATGAGTTTATTCCTTTTGGTACTAAATTCATCATGATGGAAGAAATTTAAAGTTACTTTTCCCACGCTTAATGGCTACAATTGAATTACATGTATGTAGTTGATCAGAATTGACAGTGAAACTGTGTCAGATTAGATAGTTTTGACTGGACCTTTACATAGTTTAATAGTTGTGTAAAGAGGTTAAGAACTTGATGTAAAGTACAATTTTCTGAGAGACTATAAGCAATCGGGGTAAATTTCCTTTGACTGTGAAGCCTATTTTATCTAGTTTTCTTAGTTTTTCAGTAAAAAAGAAATTATCATCAATGAGGTTTTTTCCTTTGAGTTAATTTACTTTAAAATGTCCAGATATATTGTAATTTACTGAACTATAGTTTTAAAGCATCATTAAAGAAATTTCTTTCACTTGCAGGCACCATTCATTTCCTAGATATTGACTTCGAAACAAATGTCAACAAATTTATCAGTTTGAAAAACAGGCACCTTTCATTTGCGAGATCTTGACCTTAAAACAAATACCACTGCAGTTTTTGATCTTTGATCTTTATTGGAAAAACCATGGAATATGAATTAAATTTTGAAAACCAGAAAAATATTTTTGTTTTTCAAATAAAATTGATTACATTTTCATATATTTTTTTTACACATTTTTATAAAAATCTGATTTGCAAAGCCATGTAATTTATGTTGATGTGAAATATTTCAGTACATGTCGATACTTTGTACAAGGTACAATGCATGCCTAATTTTGTCGGAATTTTAATGACATTTTATCTTGAGTGAGTATATATTAGATATATACAAAATTTTCTGATAGTCTGACAGAATGTATTTTTTATGAAATACTGGGTCAGCTGTTTTACTTATGTGACACATATGTACTGTAAACATTGGACTCAGCTCTGAGTCTGGTAGGATGGGTTTTATTTGATTGAATGGTAACTGTTCTGTACTCTGTACCAAAAAAAATTCTGTGAATTTCTTGAGAAGACAGCTATTTTTATCATTGTCATTCATACTTTTCTTTTCAAAAGTATCGGAGAGGGCTTGATTGGAACCTTATTTTTTTTTTTTTTTTTTTTTCAAAGAAAAGTGCTTGTAAATTCTATGGCAAGAAATATTTTTGCTGAATATTTATGTAAAAGGAATGAAATGGGCATACTCTGAATTAAATTTTTTTTAAATTGAATTGTAGATAATATTTTAAATTCCTTTATACAAAAGAAAAAGAAATTAAATTTACATGAACAAATACTTTTTTATACCCCCTGCAAACGAAGTTTGGGGGGTATATAGGAATCACCTTGTCCGTCTGTCTGTGCAAACGTATGCGGTCCATATCTTTCTTACGGAGGGACATTAGAATCTACTACTCCACACAAAGATTGCCCATGACCTTAGGGTGTGTCATGACCTTGACCCAAGGTCATTTGGGGAAGTTCAAGGTCACTGGAAGAAAAACTTCATAATTCGTGTCCGGTCTACATCTTTCTTACGGATAAAGTTGGTAGGTTCTCATTTCACACAAAGATTGCCCATGACCCAAGGGGGTGTCATGACCTTGACCCAGGTCATTTGGGGAAGTTCAAGGTCACTGGAAGAAAAAGTTCATAATTCGTGTCCGGTCTACATCTTTTTTATGGATAAACTTGGTAGGTTCTCATTTCAGGCAAAGATTGCCCATGACCTAGGGGTGTGTCGTGACCTTGACCCAAGGTCATTTGGGGAAGTTCAAGGTCACTGGAAGAAATTTTCATAATTTGTGTCTGGTCAATATCTTTCTTATGGATAAACTTGGTAGGTTCTCATTTCACCCAAAGATTGCCCATGACCTAAGGGTTTGTCATGACCTTGATTCAAGATCATTTGGGGAAGTTCAAGGTCACTTGAAAAAGTTCAAAATTCATATCCGGTCCATATCTTTCTTATTGATAAACTTGGTAGGTTGTCATTTCACACAAAGATTGCCCATGACCCAAGGGTGTGTCATGACCTTGACCTAAGGTCATTTTGGGAACTTCAAGGTCAATGGAAGAAAAATTTCATAATTCATGTGTGATACATATCTTTATTATGGAAAAACTCACTTCTGAAAAACCCGGCGGGGGGTATTTTGTCCCGTTTGGACAGTTCTAGTTAATACCTAGAAATGCATGAAATAATTCCTTCTGTTATGATAAGCAGTTTCCAATAAGAAAGTTTACTCACTTCAAAGTGCAGTAAAGAACACTGATTTCTTTCTCCATGTTATTTTAAAAGGTTAGGAAATTGTCCCAAATTTTTAGTTCTGTTTGTCAAATAACTGAGGTTCTTGTAAGATGGTAATATGTCTGTTGTCTGTCTGTTAATCTTAATATTCAAAATTGCTACTCTTACTACAGAATGTACATTTTTGGCTCAGTTTCAATAAAAATTGGCACATATGTAGACTACACAGGTACAACAAATTAGATATATACATGTAAATAAAATTATAGGTTTTAAATTGTTTGAGGAAAAGTGTTGTGCTGTTCAGTAAATTGAAAATTTGGTGAAAAGTTTTCCAAATGCTACACCTTTAGTTTTGTTTTGGTTAGATTTCAATAAGGGAATCAAGATTATGTTGGTATCTAAGGAACGTTTTAAGGAAATTTTATTTTTCTAGAAAAGAATTTAATTGGTTTTGTAATGTTATGGGTTGTAGATGTAAACTTATTAAAGGGTTATTTCAAAGAACTCTGATTCTTATTGAAATGCAAGAATTTAAAATTGTTGGCAATGCATGAAAAATTAAAATTAATAATTTTAAGAGTTACTGTTCCTAGCTGAGGAGCAGATATTCTGAATTTCTTTTGTAACATGTAATTTTCATTATTTGAAAACCAAATATTGTGTGTGATGCCACCTGTAATGGAAGATGGAGTTGTCTTTTTATGAATGTACAACTATTTAACATTGTCAAACACCATCTTTTGGAAGTACTTTTAATTACAAAAAAATGCCTATGAACATTTTGGTTCAACAAAGCAAAGTTTTGTAATTGCAGACCCATTTTGGACTATACTAAGTTTTTTTTCTGCTATGTATTAGTATTTTTTTTAGAACAAGAATATAATATTTGAATAGTCTGGCATATTTAAAGTGTTTTGTTTGATTTAAACAGGTATTTTGTACCCTCATTCTTGGAGGGAAAAAATCAACAAGTACTGTTAAGATCTGAGCAATTTCATAATTTACTGAATACTTTTTTCAATTGAATTTCTAAAGACATATGCCCAGTCACATTATTAAATAATGTTTGTTTGCTTTTTTATTAAAGATAAATGGCAAGACTAACTTTTTTTCCTTTGGTTGTCTTTGTAAAAAATGTGAGAAGGTTAATACTTGGGACATTCATCAAACAAAAAATGTACAATGAAAGAATATGATTGCGACGTGATATTCTTTTGAGTTGGTATTTCAACTTTAATCTTGGCTTTTCAACCTTTAAAGTATGAAACCTTGGGGGATCAAAATTCAACTATCAGTCTACTCGTCTTGATATCTACCAAGTTGAGGCTATCTTGTACAACTTGCAAAGTCGCAGTCGCAGACGGGAGTTACTTGCTCCTACTTGTAGAGTTATTTGTCCCTTAATGTCTTACCCAAGACATATCGCAGGCTTGGACGTTTGGGCTAGTTTAGGTGGGGTTTTTCCCTGCTCAACAAATTTCTGCGATGGATTTTTTTGACTGGGATGGAACCCCCCCCCCCCTCCCTTGCTCCCTACCTTGGAAAACAATTCTGGATCCGCGCCTGGCAATGACGAATCAAATTTTATAAATGGAAGAATTTTAAGATAATGTAAAATCAGGATTGTTTTTAAAAATCGTGACAATGGGATTATAAGGAGAAGCCATTGTTGGCGATCAAAAATTTACATAGGAATATGAAGGAGAAAAATCTGTATTGAATTTTTTTTTTTTAAGTCACAATTAGTTATATTAATTTAGAAGAATCCTCACTTGGTGTACCAATTATGCCCCCTCTCCTGTCCTTCCCAGGGAGGGGTAAGGTGGGACCACATATATTTAAATCTTTACCAGTGTTTACTCTTCAAACTGGGAAGGGAAAACTTACGAAAACTTTTTTTCTCAAACTGCGGCAACCTGTATGCAATGCCTGCGTAGAGAGTATTAGCCTGCATTTGTGCATAGGTGTCGTAAGGAAAGTGAAAAAAATGACAGGCAGGCAAACACATATACGCAATACTTTTGGTCAACCAGCATCTTAGAGGGATGGTCGTTTTTTTTTTTCTGTGTAAAACGTATAAGTAATAAAGTTCTATCCTTATGACCCGTATCGGGCTATGATTGGGGGAAATTTTCCGAGTCAGACTATGATTATTTATTTTCATGTCGGTGATGAAGGACAGATTAAATCAAGGACAGATTATTTAGTTTATTTCCTCTCAGGAAAAAGTCTGACAAGCAAAAAAAAATTCTAAGAGATCTATCTCACTATCTCTCAATAAACATTTTTAAATAATTGCTAAAGAAAGTTATGCATCATATGCATCGTTTTCTTTTTAAAGAAAGATAACTCCTGTACCTGGAAAGATAACTGTTGTAGATCTATGGAAAGTAACTTGTCGATACATTTTTCACATGTACAGAAAACAACATGATATTAAAAGGCAACACTTCATTTTGTTTCCTATTTATGAATTAAATACCTGGTATATATGACAGTAAATATTATTTCATATCTACCTCATATTTTTAATTGTATGTTAAAAATTTGATCTTAAATGATTTAGACATAATATTTATTTCTATGAAAAAAATATTTTACACTTTTTTTCATTCAAATCTAATGCTATTGAATTAATGAAAATCAATGTAGGGATTTGGAAAAAAAGTGAAATTTAGAGCAGATGGATATTTCACCTGAACGGGTGCTTGAAGTGTCGGAAAGAGAGAGAGAGAGAGAGAGAGAGATCAGGCAAAAGTAAAAGAGACTTTTCTTTCTATATAGAATTATTGAAGAGAAATAAACATCCTATGACACGATAGAGATATTTATTTGAACGCAATTTTAAAAGATATACTTGAAATGCCGGGGCGTACCTTTTGAAAGGGGATGGGGAGGGGGATAGCCAGAGAAAAAAATCAGCGTACTGTAAAATTTTGACATGGAAAAAAATGGAAAATTGTCCAAACTCGAAAGTCCTATATGCGGGGTGGGGAATAGGATCAAACTTCTTTCAGTACCATTTTTTTTTACTCATACTTACTTCATTACCCTTATTTGATTCTACTGCCACAAAACTTGGGGGAGAGGTCAACCAGACTGTATAGTCTATAGTCTATAGTCTATAGTCTATAGTATAAAAATGTCTTGTGAAAGACCCAATGCTAATTGCCTGAATTAAACAGGGGTATCTTAATAAACTGTGTCGTTTATGATTGTGTTCCCTTTCTTTTTTTAAATGTGATGTTTTTTAATGTCTCAACTCCCGAGAATAAAAAAACTAAGAACAACAAATTAAACCCAGTATTTCACCCTTTTATTTAGAATGTACATTGAAAATTTTAAACAAAACACAAAAGTAACAGAACCTCTCGCCCCCTAGCTTGAACAAATTGATTGTCCCCCGCTTGAAAGGTGGGGGATATTAATTTGGGTCTGTCCGTCCGTCCGTCTTTCTGTCTGTCTGTAACGCTTTCGTTTCCACACGATATCTCGAGAACCCTTTGAGCTTTCGCAATGAAATTTTGCATAGCAACTCCCTATGGTCAAAGGTCAAGGTCATAAATTCGCAAATTCTGTCTGTTTTAACACTTTCGTTTCCGCGCGATATCTCAAGAACCCTTTGAGCTTTTGCAATGAAATTTTACATAACAACTCCCTGTGGCCTAAGGAAGACCCCTATTGATTTAGAGGTCAAAAGGTCAAAGTTCAAGGTCGTAAATTTATACATTCTGTCTTCGTGTAACACTATCGTTTCCGGGCGATATTTCAGGAAGATTTTGAGCTTTTGCAATGTAATTTTATGCCAATATCGTGAATATATACATGTATGTGACTTAATCTTTGCATATAATTTTCATCAATTAAAAGC